AATAACAAAATTGTAAATTCGTAAAACTAATATATTTTGAATATATACGCAACTTACAATGATCTACTTGAGTAACTGAAGAATATCTATTATACTTTAAATCTGCTCTCAAAAGTTCCGTTATTTCGGCACTTAATTTCACACATATTTCACTTCGAGGGACTATGAAAAAGTTATATACAAGTTACAAATTGCATAAGATTAATAATTTCAATAATCGTATTACAACTTGCCTTCATCTTCAGTCTTTTTAATTAAATTTTTTATCTTTACGGTGATTAAAGCATCCCTTGAAGCACCCGCTGTATATGAATCTTGACTTTTATGCTTCATTATAACAATCCAATTAATTCCTTGATTTCTGCATTTGATCGTCAGAATTTCAGGTGTAAGATCTGTTAGTTCCTCATACATAAAATCAGCTTTGATATTATGGGCCCATAATTCTTTTACAAGGTCCAATCTTTCTTGTAACAATATTTTACCAAAGCTTGCTACGTACACGTCGCACTAACGAGAAAAAATCAGAATAATTAACAAAAAAAAATGAATCAATGAATCAAAGCGTCAAAATATATTATATATACCGTTTTAGGGGTCCAAAAGCTTCTATCATCTTCAATCTTCTTTGATAGAATCATTTTTAACATTGCTGATTGATAATTTTCCAATGAAAGAACAATTTTTTGCATAGCAATATTAACTCCAACTCCATAAATCGGTTGTCTACCTCTTCCTTTTCCACTTAAGGTAACAGGATGTCGAAATTGTTGTATTAACCAATCGTACCTTCCTCCTGCCGCCAAAACATCTTTACGATTATTATCATCTACAACTTGAAATATAATTCCATTCTTGTAATAATAATTATTATACCTAAACAAAAAAAAAAAAAAAATTATATATATATATAAAGATGATGATATAAAATTGTATATAATTGTTGTTCTACATACACTAATAATGGAACGAATATTATTTCGTGATTAACGCCAAGAGATTTTGCATAATCTAACAACAATTTAAATTCATTAAAAACTTCTCTTATCCGCGATTTCATTGAGGAAGACGGCATTAATTTGTCCAGAGAATTCGATACAAATTCAAAATCACCTAAAAAATGGATTTTTTATTTTAATTTATTTATGGGGGATTTTTTTTTTTAAAAGAAATATTGAATACATACCTCTAAAATCAAATAATGCTAACTCATCCAATACCATTTTGGATAATTGATATTTATTCATTAATTGAGCTCTAATCATTGATAATGTGCACTTCTTATCTAATTGTCCAAGAAGTCCACAAACTCCCTTTTTTATGTCTTCAGGAATTCTACAACATTTAAATATTGTCTCCAATATATTTGTATGATTTACATAAAATACATAATTTACTGATTTTATTGGAGGAAATTCCAGAAGAATTTCATCCACAATCTTAAAAATCTCCGCTTCAGCTACCATGGGTGCAGGAGTACTATGAACAATATCAAAGTCAACTTCACTTATTATACGTGGTTGCCCTCCAACTGTATTCTCTCTAAACAAATTTTAAAGATTAAAATTTAGAATGAACTAAAAATTTCCGTTTTTGTTAAATGATGTTTCTATCTTACCTATAAACACGATCAAATGTATATCTTTTTAGATCCATTATGTTATTTCTCGAAATATATCTCGTAAATGGAACAGTTAGATCATACGGTAACTAAAATGATTGGATTCTTCAATTATCGATTTAATTATATAATTTACAAATTTTCTAAAAACATATATTTTACCTGTACAAGACCACCATCAGTATCAATTAAATAAACAGCCTTCTTATCTTCTTCGTAAAAATCGTATTTTGGCATTAATAACGGTGTATTCAGCTCTACAGCACCGTGATGTCGAAATATTTTAACCATATGATCGCGAACTCTGACATATGTTAAAGCACTTAATTGGTCAAAGTTATTATTTCCCTATCAAGGAAACTTTGGGTGTTAAAGATATATCCGACCTTAACTATTGAAAGAAAAACTTATATAAACTTTATTAAATTACCGAATTAAAATCATAAGTATAATCTTTTGATTTATCGAGTGACTGAGAAAATAAAATCGACATCAATGCTCGATAATACGGTGTATTGGGATTCGCTATTTTATCAACAAAATATTCAATCAATTTAACAATTTATCGCGGAATTTTCTTCTTTTTTTTAAAAAAAATTTTAATAATTACAAACCGATTGTTCTAATACAATCTTGCAGGTGTTCATCTTCAATTTTTGGTGGCAAAAATTCACTTTTCAATATGTCTAAACTTGAAGGACGAACTTTAGCATCATGTTGTAAACACCATTTAACCAGGTTGATTTTATTTTGATTTGTAAATTCTCTTGGAAAAATTATCTCTGGCTTGCGTAGGTTCATTATTGTCTGTAATAATGAGGATTTTTTGGTTAAAATCTAAAATCAAGGTTATACGAGTTGATATATGTATAATTACATAAAATTATATTTTTTACCACACGTCGTTCCATCTCTGTAGAAAACTTGAAATTTATTTCGAAAAATATTATTCCTTTAAAAATAAGTCAAAAAGATATTAGTGATACGAAAAGAATATCAATCATCTCTTGTTACACGTATACCAGGCACATTCGCCAGATTCAATTCGTTTGCTTACCCAAAGAATATATGTCAACTAAATACAAATCATATATAAAATATTAGTATTTATAATTTGACATAAAAGTATAACACGTAAATATCAAATACCTTTATAACTATAACGAGTACCAAAGACCGCGCTACTAGTGACCTCCGGAGCGACGTATAAAGTTGTGCCGATGCCTAAATTATTTCGAATAAAATAACATTCATCAAATTAATAAATAAATCAAATATATCAACTATATATTCACACACCTTCGGTCATAGAAACTTCATTGCTTCCTCCTATTCTTTCCACATTTCTAAATGAACCAGGATCAAACAGAGCATTGTTTGTTGTTGCCAATCCAAAGTCACCAATCTTTTTTTTTTTAAAAAAAAAAAATGAATGAATCACACACTAGTATTTAAATAAACAGGTTAAAGAACTTAGATGAATTAATTTACCTTGACATCTCCATTAGCGTCCAAGAAAATATTGCTAGGCTTTAAATCACGATGGATCTGTTTTTTTTAAAGAAGCAACGATCGAATATCTGAAATATATCCAACTATTCTAAAACATTATACGAATGAAATTAATTAATTAATTACCGTTCCCTAATCATCAAACAAGAATAACAATAATTAATAGGTAATAATGATATTAATTGTTCTAATAAAATAATATTAACATAATCATACCTGTCTGTGAATATGAGCTAAAAACAATTAAAGATGAAATTAGCTTTAATTTATTTGCATAGGATACATAAATATAAGGAAATCGAAAAAATACCAAGCCCCTCAACAATTTGCCTAAAAATTCTATTATTTTTTTTTATTTGATAAAAAAACAAAAAGTTCAAATAAATAAAAATAAATAAAAAAATCAGAATTAATCTATAATTAAATACTTAAACTTGCCTCCATCCCTCATCTTCACTCATTCCAGAATCAATGATGTCTCTCAACGTTTTATTCTCACAATATTCCATTTGTATATAAAGAATTCTTGTTTTCGCTTCTTTTGAATTATTCTTTTTTCCGGGTCCGGGAGTTCTATTTCTAACACCAAATCCTCCTTTTGTCAAATCTCCATTTTGTAATTCAAATTCATCATCACTATCAGATTCAAAGTGTATTTGTGAATATCCACGATTTGAAGATGATTCAAACATTAAATCAAATTCATCCAAATCCTGAAAATCTATTGCATTAGAAGAAAGTGATTCTGATTCTTCATCGTCTAATGCCGTGATTTCTTCGCTAAATGATTCGGTATCATTCCAACTGCTATCAGAATCTATTTAAAATGAAAATTTTAACGTATGCTTTATTTAAAATATAAAACATACATATGTATATATTATACCTTCAAACCATGTCGTATAATATCTAACAACATACTGATGGTGTAAACGTGATAATGTTGTAACTTCTCTCAAAATCTTTTTCGTTTTCTCGATATCGTTCGGATTAAGACACACTTTTTTTATCGCATAAAATCTAAAATATGTAAAGATTTAGAATATGCTTACTATATATAGTAAAATAAAATGTAACGTAACAAACCTTCCATCTAATTTATTCCTGGCCTTAACAACTTCACCAAATCCGCCTAAAGAAAAAATTTTCTTTATTTAATAATATATTTAATTAGCAGAGCAGCGGTAGTAAGAGGTAGTAGTAAACAAAGTAGTAGCAAACAGACTACTACATTAAACGTACCCTTGCCAAGAAAAGCAAGCTCTTCGAAATCAAGTTTATATCTTGAAAACGAAAAAGGTTGAGAGTTTGGAACTGATGTAGGTGGCGATATGGCATAATGGGATAAATTGTCATTGACCATTTCATTATAGTTTTCTCTATTAAGTGCAAATGCAGAACTTTGCTGATCTATTAATAACATAAGGATTTATTAGCAAAGCACAAATTATTGTTATAAATTCAAATATTAAAACAAACCTTGTGACATCATATATTTTAAGGAAAAAGGGATCCCCTCATTAAAGAAGGAATTATTCAGTAATTCTAGTGGGGTTGGTCTTTTTTTTATATCTCTAAAATTTTTTTGTTGAGGATAAAAAAAATTAAGTTGAAATCTCAAATAATCAACTCGAAGAAGGTTAACAATAATTGACCTTACATTTGAAGCATGCTTTTGAGAATATCCTTTAAAGAATTCGGTATCTCATGTTTAGCTAGAAAATAAAAGATTAAATTGATGTTTCAAGTTAAACGTAATAAATATAGATGAAGATGATGATTGAACATACAGGAACTAAGGAGATTATCCAAAGAATCATAATCTAGAGTCACTTTTAATCCAAATAACATTTGTACGAAGATTACACCCATGTACCAAATGTCATTTTTTCTAATTGATAAAATTATAAAAAAAAAAAATGTAATTGAATTTTAAGATAAAAAAAAAAAAAAAAAAAAAAAAATAGTTCGTAATATTTACCTAGAATAAGCATTTGATTTTGATACTTGTTCGGGAGAAAGCCTAATGACAAAGAAAAATTATTAAAATATTCAACAGTTTTCTTTAAAGAAAATACGCGTTTCATCAAAGTTAATACTGACCATCTATTCATTTCTTCCGGATATGAATTTTGAGTGAATGGATTATTATTGTGCATATCTAAAATTTTAATCATATATTATTATAATAATTTTAATCTAAATGGTTGAGTGATCACAAATCCATGTCATCAACGATACCTAACAATTCCCTGTGATAATTGATATCAGATAACTTGGCAATGAAATCGTCTGTTCCGGGAACTTCTACAAACAATACATTAGAAGCCTTGATATCTAGATAAATAGAAAATATAAGATATATTGGAACCGCTATTAAGCCATGTACAAAAGTAAATCCAATTGTATTAACCTTTATGTATAAAATTAATGCTATGTATATGGTCTAAGGCTGTCAATAACTGCTTCATATATTCTCTTGCCAACGATAATCTCACAACTCCACATTTTTTCAATAAATCGACAAGAGTTCCGCCTCTTGCATATTCCATAAGAATATATAAATTCCAACCGGTCTGTGGACATCTTTTAAGCTCGGATTCGTAAATGATAACTATATTTGGATGACGTAACTTTTTCAACCGATCAAGTTCCTTTTCAATCTCCTCAAGCTAAAATTAGATTGTGTATTAATATTCGATTTTCAAAACTATAAAAAAGTGATTCTTTTGACTCACCTTATTCTTGCCATCTAGATCTAAATAATGCGATTCGGTTATTTTAATATCTTTAAGGACTAAAACATACCTCAAAGAGGTCGATGATCCTCTGATTTGGAAATTCGTAGCCTGGACCATATATGTTACACCGATTGGTCCTAAAATTTTCAAAAAATAACCGTAGTACATGTTATATTTAAAGTTGTACATTGACCAAGTTTATACAAGAAATTTAAGTTGTGTCTTAAACAGTGTAACAGGTAAACTACGGATTTTCTATTAATTGGAATTGCGATGTTATTGGGTTCAATTATTATTAAATAAAAGATATGTATAGAAATAATTGACGTGCGCGTGGCGTGAAGTGGCGTGGGTTAAGATATTGGGGCTAAGGGGTGAAATCGATAAAAACTTGGACAAACTTATCACGTGAAGCAACGATGACAATACCTTTTCCGATAGACGGACCTAGCATTACAGATTTAAAAGGTACACACTATAAAAACAAAAAAATATATTTAATTAAATAAGTTTTTTTTTTTTCAATACTTTGTTAGTAATGAATACCTGCGAATCATCAGGATTCAACATGATCAATGAATCAAAATCAACGATTGTAAACTGCATCGAATTATAATCATTTCCAATCTTTAAATCCTGACTATTTTTAAATCTCAATTGTTTTCTCTTTTGTCTCTCTTCCTCCTTCTTTGCCAATTGCCTTTGAGTTTCCTCTTCAATCTTTTGTAATAAAGTCAAGTTTTCATTTAATTTCTCTTGCTCTTTGATTTGTTTAGCTCTAATAATTTCTTCCATTTCTTTTTCGTGTTGAACCTAAAAAAAAACAAAAATTTCAATGATTTTAATCAGAAAAGGAATAAAAAAAAAAAAGGAACAATCTTAAATATAAAATAATTTCAACCTTTGACATGTGTTCATTTCTACTCAACATTTGTGCATGAAAAGAAGGTACCTTAACTATTCTCGGAATGCCATTATTATTCACTGTAATAAATTCTTTAACAAACTCCGCAATCGTAAAAACAACTTCTTGACCAACATTTTCCTTCAACTTTTTATTGACTTCAACTTGAAGTTGTTTTAATTTTGTCGTTGAAAGTCCTTGAGCGTTTTCAACCTTAATGTCTGGAGATACACGAGGGTAGGTTTTTGGAAATCTTTGTTTATAAACATATTTTAAATTAATAACAGATAATTAGATTAAAAAAAAAAAAAAGAAAAGAAAAGAAAATAGATCATATATACTTTATATGTAGATCGACGCGTACATGTCTTTTTAATTCTTCCTCATGCGGACACAAATGAAGTTTGAATTCATGAACTGTTGGAGCAACCTATATGAAAAAAATATTTGTAAATATCTATTATTATAATAAATGAATTGATAATGTGTAAACTCACCTGCTTCCAAACGCTCTGTGTCGCAACAGGTTCAAAATCATCCATATATATTGCTATAAAAAGATCAATTAATTAGAATTTAACAAACACCATCTTTTTGCTAATTAACTCTAAATCGACACACCTTTTATAGCTTCGATTTCATCATCTTGTAATTGCTAATTAAAGGATTAAATAAGTTAAAGATAATTAATTATTATTATACAAGAAAAAAATCAAATATTTTTATTACCTTTGCCTCTTGCAAACTCAATTGAGTCGATAAAAGCGATGAATTCCTTTTCGAGTTATTCATGCTGCATTTGCGTTAATGAGGTAAGTCGAATTTTTGAGGATACCATCAAATATATAAAAAATAATCAAATGAAATTATAATTATCTAATTCTAATTTGTATCTTTTAAATTGAAATAATAAAAATAAATATAATAAATAAGGATAGATTAAAAAAAGAAAGTAAAAAAAAAGTTGGAATTGACACAAACGACGGAGAAGACTTAAAATTTTATCAAGGATGAAATTCAGAAATTTATATCAGTAATCAATAATCACATGATTTGTGGGCGTTTGTAACAGATCGACACAGATCTGCACAAAACAGCATTATTAAATTATCATACATTTAATACATTTAATAAATAATATTTTTACATAAACAATGTAAATATACGTGATTCGGAAGAAAATGGAAAAGGTTTTCTAAACGTGAAATTTCTCAAATCATATCATAATAGATTCCCTTTTAATGGTAGAATATTTCCGCCGGCAAATTTTGCCTGCAATTTTGATTTTTACGTAAAAATATATTATAAACTTTAATTTTAAAATAAAAATGTTTTAAAACAACGAAATTTCCCAATTTTGTAATATACTAAAAAAATTAGCGTAACTTAAAAATTATCAATTATTATTAAATATATATATATTTTTTTTTATAAATTGATCTTAGTAACTAATTTATAATAATAAATAGTTAGCTCAGCCGATCAATCCTTTTTTATGCAAATACCATGTAAATTATTGTAGTGCATACTAAAGCGAAGCTCAAAAATATCCCCCATAAACCTTGACTTCCATCTAATAAAACGTTTCCAATATCTGAAATTTCTTGATCCAATGTTGCGGGCTTGGTGACTTTTTTAACTACCACCACCGTGGCTGGAGGAATCTTTTATTTTTAAAAAAAAATGGATAAGCAACTCAATACAAAGAAAGACAATTCGAAATGAAACATTTTTTATACACTTACATATGTTGCGTATGTAATTTGCTCCCCTATATCAAACAAATAATGAGGTTAGTTAATTTTCTATCCGGTTTTCTCAAGGTTGATTAAAAAAACATGGTATACCTTTATTATTTATTGTCGTAATAGTAGTTGTGTATCCTGGTATAGTTGTAGTATATGTGGTAGTAATAACGACCAAATTAACTTTCTTCCCTTGCTCCATTGGAGGAGGAGTTATGGTTTCATCCGGAATAGTGAACGTCGGAGTTTTGCCTAATTTTTAGATTCAGTTTTAGGTTAGGTTGTTAATAACTTGATAATTTAACCTATAATAAAACTATTTATACCTGAACATTCCGCTGGTGAAGCATTACATTTTGGTGGTGGTGGTGGTGGGCATGTCAATGGATCTTTGGTTGGATCACAACTTAGAGTCGGTCCGCAATCCGGATCTTTGTTTGGATCACATTGTTTTGATGGTGATGACGATGGCGTAGTTTGACATTTTGGATCGGTGGCAGGATCACATGGTTTTGATGGCGTGGTTTGACATTTCGGATCGGTGGCAGGATCACATGGTTTCGATGGCGTAGTTGGACATTTTGCGGTGGCAGGATCACATGGTGGTGGTGGCGTAGTTGGACATTTTCCGGTGGCAGGATCACATGATTGTGGTGGCGTAGTTGGACATTTTCCGGTGGCAGGATCACATGGTGGTGGTGGCGTAGTTGGACATTTTCCGGTGGCAGGATCACATGGTGGTGGTGGCGTAGCTGGGCATTTTGGATCGTTGGCAGGATCACAATTTGGTGCTGGCGTTTTAGCGCAAGTCGGATCTTTTGCTGCATCACATTCTGGTGGAGTTGGGCATTTTGCTGCATCCACACATCCTTGATCATCTGGATTTTTTCCCGGTTCTTTTGCACCTTCATCATTTGGTTCTTTAGGAGGTACTTTGGGATCTACTGGCTCTTTTCCCGGCGTCTCGGGTTCCTTTGGAGGTTCAGGTTCCTTAGGAGGTTCAGGTTCCTTTGGAGGTTCAGGTTCCTTTGGAGGTTCAGGTTCCTTAGGAGGTTCGGGTTCCTTTGGAGGTTCTGGTTCTTTAGGAGGTGCTTCAGGTGCCTCTTTCGGTGCATCTTTTGGTCCATCCTGTCGTTCATGCAAGCGAATCCCATCAACTGATAAATTACGTTTCTCTTCCACGGCTAAACTTACAGTAACGAATACTGTGAGAATGACCATAAAAAATAATGTTTTTTTTTTGTTCCATTTAAGAAAACTTTGAAACATGTTTATAAAAAATTTTTTCCCGTTAAAATATGCAAAAAATGTAAAAGAGTTATGGGGAGGAGAATCCCTTAAAAAAAAAGCTCGTCATATTTATATTAAAAAAAAAAAAAAAAAAAAAAGGTGCTGCAGTTGAATTGGATGCGCACTATGCCATAATGAATCAATTGTTCTTACATAAACAAATTTGAATTTGAAAAAGAAAATTCTGTAATAACTATGATACATAAACAAATTTGAATTGAAAAAGAAAATTCTGTAATAACTATGATATCTATAAAAAGATTAGATGATAGACAGCTTTGTAACGCTGTTATACTGCATACATTATAAAATCATTGGTCACACAAATTGGGGCTTTGTTCTACCAAATGACAGTAAAGGGTTTAATAAAAAGAAAATGTTGACAAACAAAGGGACATATTTCTTTATAGGTAAATTAAAAGTAATAAAACTTTCTTCAAGCATTTATGAATTGGAAGAAAGGCTTATTTCGTTCAAGGTTTATCAAAATTCAAGTACGGTCTTTATAAACAATAAACATGAGAAGAGAGATGTTTAAATACACATAATTGTGTATTTAATTAATTCCATGTACTTTTATAGAAAATTTAATTAAATTTCTTCCAAAAATATGCCTAAACCGGTTCAACCTGTTGTGTTACTACTATTTATAGAAAAATGGCTTAAAAGTTCATGTAATATATATGCTAAATTAAGAACGTTATTTTTTATTCTTGTTTTACTATTTAGACAAACCATCAAATTGTAAAGTTGTGTCACGTTTGAATTGTCATATATGTCTAAAAGGACGATGGGGTTTTTTATTAACAATTATTTTAAATACTTTTTAATATAGGGGTATTATTAAATCTTTCTAATATAAATTACACGTACGTAAATTAATAAATGTTTTTTTTTTATATATATATATATTATATATATTATAAAATTAATTTACGCAACCATCGAAAATACCATACTCGCAATCACAATTATTAAACTTATCCAAATCCCCAAAATCCCCTGATATCCGTCAAGAATGAGAGATTCACCGAAAGCAACTTGATCTCCGGTTGGAACTGGAAGGGGAGATGTAATCTTCTTAACGATAACTACCGTAGTCGGTGGTATATAAGTTTGATATGACGTGGGCTCTCCTTTATTATTTGTTGTGGTTATGATAGTACTATCAAAACAAAAGCAAAAGAAATAAGAAAAAACTCGTCATGCGATAATTAAAATAAAATCATTCAAATAAAACCCTAACCTATATCCTGGTTTTATACTCGTGATGGTGATTGTAAATGTTGTATAAACTACTTTCTCGTCATTTCCTGCTTCTTGAGCATCTGGTCCAATATTTGGTTTTTTATTGTTATTTTGATCTTTGTTATTGGCCTTTGGTTCAGGTTCATTGTTTTTTCCATTGGGCTTTTCATCTGGATTTTTTGGATCCGGAGATGGTTCTGGTGGTATCTTTTCATTTACGAATATTGTAGTTATAACGTCTGGTTTCTTAGCTGGAGGATCTTCCGGTTGTTTAGGTTCGTTATTCTTTGGTTGTACTTTGGGCACTTCATTCTTTGGCTGTTCTTTTGGTTCATTGGGTTGTTTTGCGTCTTCATTTTTTGGTTGTTCTTCATTCTTTGGCTGTTCTTTTGGTTCATTGGGTTGTTTGGCGTCTTCATTCTTTGGTTGTTCTTCATTCTTTGGCTGTTCTTTTGGTTCATTGGGTTGTTTTGCGTCTTCATTATTTGGCTGTTCTTTGGGCACTTCATTCTTTGGTTGTTCTTTTGGTTCATTGGGTTGTTTTGCGTCTTCATTTTTTGGTTGTTCTTTGGGTACTTCATTCTTTGGCTGTTCCTTTGGTTCATTGGGTTGTTTTGCGTCTTCATTCTTTGGCTGTTCTTTGGGCACTTCATTCTTTGGCTGTTCTTTTGGTTCATTAGGTTGTTTTGCGTCTTCATTTTTTGGTTGTTCTTTGGGCACTTCATTCTTTGGCTGATCCTTTGGTTCATTGGGTTGTTTTGCGTCTTCATTTTTTGGTTGTTCTTTGGGCACTTCATTCTTTGGCTGTTCTTTTGGTTCAATGGGTTGTTTTGCGTCTTCATTCTTTGGTTGTTCTTTGGGCACTTCATTCTTTGATTGTTCTTTTGGTTCATTGGGTTGTTTTGCGTCTTCATTTTTTGGTTGTTCTTTGGGCACTTCATTCTTTGGCTGATCCTTTGGTTCAATGGGTTGTTTTGCGTCTTCATTCTTTGGTTGTTCTTTGGGCACTTCATTCTTTGGCTGATCCTTTGGTTCATTGGGTTGTTTTGCGTCTTCATTCTTTGGTTGTTGTTCTTTGGGCTCTTCATTCTTTGGTTGTTCTTTTGGTTCATTGGGCTGTTTTGCGTCTTCATTCTTTGGTTGTTGTTCTTTGGGTTCTTCATTCTTTGGTTGTTCTTTTGGTTCATTGGGCTGTTTTGCGTCTTCATTCTTTGGTTTTTGTTCTTTTGGTTCATCGGGCTGTTTTGCGTCTTCATTTTTTGGTTGTTGTTCTTTGGGCTCTTCATTCTTTGGCTGTTCTTTTTGTTCTTCATTTTTTGGTTGTTCTTTGGGTTCTTCATTCTTTGGCTGTTCTTTTGGTTCATCGGGTTGTTTGGCGTCTTCATTCTTTGGTTGTTCTTTGGGTTCTTCATTCTTTGGTTGATCTTTTGGTTCATCGGGTTGTTTTGTCTCTTCATTCTTTGGTTGTTCTTTTGGTTCATCGGGTTTTTTTGTCTCTTCATTCTTTGGTTGATTATTTGGCTCATTATTTTTCGGTTCCTGTCGTTTCTGGATAGAAATTTCGCGTTCTTGTTGAATTGGCGATGTCAAACAAGTAGTGATCAGCACTGCGGCCAATATTAAAATCGCAAATAGATGCCATTTCTTGATTCGTGTTGGTGTCATTTGTTGAAATAATCTTTATTCCTGATATCTATGATCCCAAGGTTTCTATTTCAAGTGGTGGAATTATATTAATTTTTTTTTAAAAAAAAAAAAAAGGAAAAAAGAAAAGGTGGCTTTTAGAATTTCAAAAAAGAAAAGAAAATAAAATAAAATAAAATAAAATAAAAAAGAAAAAAAGGGGAAAAAAAAAAAAAGTTTAGCGAAAATGCGGGATACCAACCGTATTTTATGCATTTTTGGTAATACAGCAAAAAGTTATATATAAATCATTGAATTGTTTTTTTTAATTGGTGAAACAAACAATGATCCAAAAAAAAAAATTAAATCTAAAACAAGATAGTTAATATAATTCAACAAGTTTCTTCCTGTTATTAATAGATCAAAATTCCCTTTTTCGAAGTGGGCTGTATAGATCTTAGTCACCTTTTTAAGTTTTTTATTTTTTTGTGAAGGCTCAATTTTTTCAATTCTTCTCATGATCTCGGGGAGAATCATGATTATATGAATCATTGAAGGGGAAATTTTTTATTTTTTCATATTTGGAAGTATGAATGATCGTAATGGTGTAATGGACCTTATTATTTATTGTATGTTTCAAAGGATTTGTAACGTGAATTCCTTTTTAAACGTAAATGCGATCGGAAAAATATTATTATCGAGGTTTTTTTTCCACCGCGATCGCCAGATAAAAAAAATCGCCTTTTTTGGTATGAACATGGGCGTAAAATTTAGGAGGTTTTTAATAAAATTTGGTCAACGTTAAAAGCATCAACAACTTTCGTTGTTTATTACATGCAACTAGATGGTATTATTATTGTTTACATAATGATTCTAAAACCAGGAGCATTTTATATATGCATAGTTTGTCAAACAATTTGGAAATGGAAGCTTCCTTTTTTTCTTTCATGGAGACAAAGATAATAATGGTCCTTTTTTTTTTTTGATAACGTTGGGGATTAGAATAAAAAAATAAAAAAAAAAAAAAAAATGAGAAAAAAGGACAAATTTCTTGGCATTACAAATTTAGTCACTTAATGATGCAGTAGAACAACCCGTTGGGAATAAGTATTAGCGAGTTACAATTTCTTTAATAGGAATAGCTCTAAATCCATTACATTATTTTGTAGAACAATTTGAATTTCAAAACAGTTTGGTAAATAACCGTATACAATCATAAGAACGAACAGAGTATGGATAATGTCTAGTGAAATCCCCCCGTTTAAGGGATCAATAAATCATTTGTTTCTTTTACTTTTGACGAGAAATCAAGGATCTACATCGAGTTATAATATTGTCTTGCATAAGATTTGAGGGTTTCCATAAATAAAATTAATTAGCCTTTCCGATTATTTTTAGATAGTAAAAAAAAAAAAAATAAATAATAATAAATAAAATGCTAATGATTGAAATAAAAGGTTTTTTTTCTATATATATAAAAGGTCTCCTTAAGATCTGAGAGATAAGCGGATTTACAAAATATCAACAGATATCCCATTCTATTATTTGAAGAGGGAACGTTCCCCCTTGAAATCATTTTCTAATTATAACAATGGAATAAATCGTCGTGTCGCAGCTAACACCAAATCTATTATTGTACCAGGCAGCGCATTTCTACAATGCATATATTGATTGATTTCATACTAAATAGAGTAAGGAAGTGATTAAGTTTATTCCGCCCGAAAGAATCAATTTTTGTTTAACCCATTCAGACGATACATTATGTGGACATTCCAGAGCGGGATCATGAGGTTATAAAATCATCAGTGTAGTAATATTTCTGCTTTTATGCTGTCGTGATGCTATATGTTATCGGTATCGGTAATATCTCATTTGATCATTGATATTAAGCATCCAATTAAAATTGGCTGTTAAATCTTAAAATTACTCCGCATAATATAACTTTTTAATCTATTAAATAAATATTTATTTATTCAAATTACCGATCTTGAAACTCGAAACTGTATTAATATTTTAGGACATAATTTTTGGTCAAAACAGGTCATGCTAATACAGCGCGGAATGAAATAATAACATACAAATATTCACGCAGCAAATTTATCATGCCATTTACATGTAATACAAAATGAGACGATTTGTGCCTACTTCTTTTAAAATCCTGATGAAAATAACAATGTGATTCATACTTTCCAACGACTGAGGATAAATATGTGACTTGCTTTTTTCTTTGTAAACCTTTGTGTCGTAATAATTGGTTAAAACGTAACTCTGATATTCGTGTATGCGTCTTTGTCATATTTAAATTATGTCAATACTTACTTGTGCTTTCTTTTTTCCCCGCTTCAATCATGCTGCGCTTCGCAGAGGGGCATCCTACGAAGAAATGCCGAATAGAAGAGGGTACATTGTCTTTCTGTGCAACTTCCTCCTTAATTAATTGATACACTTAACTTCTATTTCATTATGTTGCCAAATTACATTCTATTCTGGTCACAATAACTTAACTAACAAATGGCATTCTTTAACAAATGTTTTTGATGCATTATGATATAATGCTCATCATATAGCACTATTGTACAAAAGTTTATTTACTGTATATATAACAATCTGTGTAAGGTTGGTAAACTCCTAATTTAATAATTAGATATTTGATAATAATTTTATCTTTTTAATATTAATATACATAAATTTAGTAATGAATTTAAAATAAAAAACCATTTAAAAATTTATTTAATTTAGGATCTAATCTTATGACTTAAGTTCTAAATCTAATATTTTTAAATTTTAAAGGAAATTTCAATTTATTTTAATAACTAATTTTAATTAAAATTATTATAAAAATGTTATTTAAAAAAATTATCTTTAAAATTATTAAATTTTTTAAATTTATATATGACTAATTAGAATTTTTTTAACATTAAGTATAATGAAGTAAATTAATAAACAAAAAATTATATTGATTTAATTAAATGTAATATAGAAACCTACATATGTCCAAATTTTGAAATCCAGCCTAGCCTAAACTTTAAGCCAAGAATGAAAATGCTAGCCCAACTGTCAAAATTAAATTTGTTTATTAAATACCAGCTCAGTTCAGACTTAATTGTAATTATTAATGATGCAAAATTTAACAATTTAATTATTTTACTTTATTTAACAAATTATAAAAATAACAAAATGTATTTTTTTTTACAATTTTTAACAAATTTTATTTAATGAATAAAAATAAAGATTAATGAAAAGTATTATGTAAAACTAAAATGCTATTACTGTTTACAAATAATATGAAATTAATATAAAATTAATTAATAATAATAAAATATTTTATTATATATTCAGTGACAACTAAATTTTAATTAAATAATAATTTTTACTAAAATTATAAAAAAAATCAGGCTGATATCTTAAATTAGAATCTAGACTGGAAAATTCTAAACTATTTATTTGCTAATTTAGGTTTAACCTATTATAGGCTTCTATGTAATATAATTAAATTTTTAATCAAGATATTAGTTCATTTTGAATTTTTTTTTTTGCAAATTATATACTACTATCTAGAGGTTAAAACTGGTTAATTTTTTAACTAGTTAAAATAGTTAATATATTAACTGATCAAAGCTATTTTTTTAATTAGTTAAAATAGTTGAAAAATTAACTTTAACTAAAATTCAATTCTAATCAAAATTAAGATTTTTTATGATTGCAAAAATATTACCTAATTATAGTCAATTTATAGTATTAGTCAAAGTTAATTTTAATCAGTTATTTAACTTGTTAATAAATACTTTAATAGATTATTAACTGGTTAAATATTTTTTAACTAGTTTCAATCTCTATTACTACTAGAATTTTTATAATTAAAAATATATATATATATATTTTTAATTTACTTGATTTTATAAGTATAATTTAAGAGACTATTCTATTTACTAATAATTTTAATAATTTAACTTCTTATATTATAATTAAAATTTCCTATAATTAACTATTATAGATTAATTTAATTTATATAATTTAAAGTATTTTTTCAAAAAATATTATTATATTTAGTAAAAAAAAATTTTTATTACTGTTTAATTCTTTGAAATGTTAAATAACTATTTGCAAAAATAATTCAAAATAATTCTAACTTTAAAAAAGTTTGCTTAAATGATATACTATAATAATAAAGCTTAAAAGTTTTTATATATTTGTCTAAAATGAAGTTAAAGACAATATATGTCTATATCAGTGTTAGATTTTAGACACATTTTTTAATTTTAAATATTTTGGACAAAGTTTTAGACATAGAAAAATATGTTCATAACCTATCTAAAATTGTCTAAAATTATCCAAAATTGTCCAATTTTCTAATACTGATTTATATGCTTTAAAAATTTTTTAGCTACGTATTATTACGTTTTATCTGTCTGCTCATATGATCTTTAACTAATAAAATCTCTAATTTTAAAAAGTGTTAAGATCACTTTAGACTTAACAATAGTTCCTATTTTCTAGTTATAAAACTTGTTTAAAAAAAATTTTAAAACTTGTATTTAAAAAAGTAAAAAATATTTAAATACTTTATATATAATATAAAATGAATAAAATTTTATTACTCTCATTACTTTTATTAAAAATATAAAATATTATATATATTATTATTATATATTAAATTTGTATAATTATATTTATTATTTATTATTAATTAACCTTTTTGTTAATCATACTTATTATAAAAATACTGATTAAATATTTAAAACTAATTAGAAAAGACTTCTTATAAACTTTTTATATAGGTTAATTATTAGGAAAATTAAATTCTAAAAAATTTTTTAACTTGAAATTTTTATTATTTTTTAATTTTTGATATTATTAGATTAAAATGTATTATGCTCTTAATTTTAGTCAAAAATTTCTTAAATCTTGATTTATCTAAAAATTTTCTTATATTAATTTAAAATAAAAATAATTTTTAATTTATTTATTTTTGTAGTATAGTAAAATAAGACTATTATTTTTATTATAATATAACAAGTTTGTAATCATTAATAAAATTATTT